TCTCGCGCTTGCTTTCGTCCCGACTTGTTAGGTCGTCAAATGTAATGACTCTTATTATTATTATTATTATGAGCCTTGAGCACTGCGACCTCTGGATGGTCTATTGTGCGTGGCCCTTTACCCTATACGTGAAGGCTTTTAATATAAGCTAGCACTTCGGTGGGCTTTTTGTTCCATATTTCGAATGGATTAAGTGCTGTACCACCTAGGTGAGCGAGTCTGCGTCTAGCGAGAGCAATACATTCACAAAGGATGTGTTCTGGCGTTTCTTCGTCCATCTCACAGAAGCGACAAACGCTCGTGTCTGAAAGATTCATTTTACTGCGGTGATAACGCAGGGAATAATGTCCCGTGAAGTACCCAGTGAGAGTTCGAAGGTCCTCCCTGCCTAGATTTATGAGCTTTTTTGAAGCTTCTTGTGATGGATAGATGAACCGCTTAGCTTGTCTTTTCCCCGGACATTCACTCCAGTGCCTATCGAATTTTTTGTTGACCCACTTGTTTATGACTTCCCTTAAGTGGGCTTTGTTGAGCCCGCAAATAATGACCACTTGATCATTTCATTTTAAAGGGTTGGGCAAAAATTTGACCGTCGCCAAGAGTTGACTGGTTCCAGATGGCAGGTGCCTAACCATGCTCTAACCCGTTCTGGCGCTTGATTTCGAATTGCCCAGCCTCGTTATTTAGCTTCATGATCCTCGGGACGTCCAAATTGATTCGTCTGGCCCTGTCACGCACGTCTACGACTACCGTCCCTTCAGGGAGAAACCCCGCTCTAATTTCAGGGATTGTACTTGCCATTATGAAGAGGGCAACTGATGCGTTCATGACTTTGCTGAAATTATGCTCGGCATACCAGTCGACATTGCTGTTGCTATAGCACCCAGGCGTGCATTTATAACTTCTCAAGCCTTCCCGTTTAGCTTATTTTGTGTTCGATGATGTCGCTGGGTGTGGTTTTTTGTTGGAATGACGGGCAAGTGGTCAGAGACCACATTGTGGTGGCATCTTTGTTTAAGATAGAGAAATTAGAGCCCTCTACCTGCGATGTGTGTCGCGTTGATCGTTACCCGACACGAGCCTGTTGTCACCGACTGGGAGTATACTTTTGTCGAGGCGATAACTTTAGGCCCAGCAGGTAAGTGGTGGGATGAAGACATTTAAAAGCTTCAATGTTGTTTCTTTGGGGCTAATGCCCGATTTTGCCACTAAATGAAGGTGTCTCTGGCGTTAACCTCAAGAGCGACGCTTCAGTATTGCACAGAGTGGTGAACGATGAATGCGATGCCTCCTCTTCTGCCATTGGACATGCACCACGTGTGGTGGCGTAGCATCATCATGTTCGTGGAAGTCCAACGTACGTCAAAAAACAAAACAAAAGGAATTTTCGTATAGAATTTCAATGTTTTGACTGCAACTACCTTCTAGAAATTCATTCATATACAAAATATACATGTACACATGTTTAAAGATACAATCCCCATTCCTCCCTTTCAGGTACAAACCGTCTCCAAGTCAATGGACAATGCAGAAGGCGACCAGACATTACATGGTGATGGCTAAATATGAGTAGAACACGTGAGTTCCACATCCAATTGATGTCAGTATTGAGGCAACGTGACGATCAGTAAGCGGCAATTTTATTTACTACAAACTATTCCCTACAAGTTCATTTTGCAAGAATATCAGCACGAAAAAGTGTAGGTAAGTAAGCATTCAAAATCACGTTGTCGCATTTAATAAAGCAAAGTTCACTTTTTTTCCGAATTTGCAGATTAGCGTAAACATTGCCGCTGACAGGCATTTAAA